AGGCTGGATGGAGAAATATGTTGGCCCCATCAGCAGCCAGATGTGCTGTCCAGAAGCACAAGCCATTAGCAAATGCTCTTCAGCTGCTGGCACAGAGATTCCTTTCCACACCTAGGGAGCATTACACTGAGAGGATCCCAGCCTTCCACCACAAGTGTTTGCTTTGTCCTTGGCAAAAATGAAAACGGTAACATTACGAGCCAAAAGCTCTTCAGGGAGCTGCCTCCTATCCCTTCAACCCCAACCAAGGTGTCTTTCAGCTGCCTTTGAAATCATTTGATTTGATTTGATTAGCACCAAAGTGCTACTTTTTAATACTTCACTGCTCATCAGCTCTGGGCTGCTCCAAATGAAATATTAAACCCAATAGCTTAAACCATTGTGTGAACAGGACCAGGCTGGAGAGATGCTTCACTGAAAAAAGCATTTCAACATGCAAGAGTGATGGGAGCATAAATATGTTCGATTGTGACAGCTTGGCTGATGAGCATTAACTCATTAACTGATGGAAACTTGCCTTCCTAAAGCCCCATATCCCTTTCTTTCTGGCACTTTTACAAGTGCTAACTTCAGTGCCTTGTCCTCAATGTTGATGGAACTGAAGGGTTCCTGTAAGATCACAAGGATGGGTTTCCTTCACCAGTAGGCTGAGAAACCTGGTCACACAGAACAAGAGATTTCATTCTGCCAGTGCCACTGCAGTTACAGGGGGGTATGGCATTGCTTCCCTCCTCCTTTCCCTCTAATACTGCAGATCCCAAACCTGCTGCTGTTCATCTGCCTGGGGACCACAGTCCAGGGATGAAGGAATTATCTCCAAATACTGCTCATCCAACATGTAAGTCTAGCAAGTCAATGCTGCACCACAGATAAGAATTTATTTTTTTTTCAGGAGATGCTGTATCCTGATCATTGGGTTTGGGAGAATTACAGCTGTGTCTGAAAAGCCTGTGCAGAGATATATTCATAGCTCTGGAGTGGGTAATGCTGCCACAGTTACTGGGAAAGGAAGACTGAATCTCATAAATGTGAGAGGTTAGATTTGGTCTCCCCTGCTTTGACAGTTGTTGCACAGTTTCAAAATTCAGTAATGTTGGGAGCTTATTCAGTCAAAATTCAGTCATACTGGGAGCACAGCTTCCTGACTTTCTTTAAAAAAATAATTATGGAGAGAGAGTGAAAATTAAGAGCCACAATATAATGCAGCATGTTGTTTCCTCCAGAACTTCTCTTTGATTGTCTGGGCCAATCCTAAAATCAGGTTCAATTGTTCAATTCTTAGACAGTCTATCATACCATGGAAATAAGCCATGGGGTTTTTTTGTTTGTTTGTTTGTGGGTTGGGGATTTTTTGGAGTTGTTTTTTTTTTTGTTGTTTTGGTTTTTTTTTTGTGGTTTTGTTATTGTTTGCATCCTCAGATATCCAGCTAATAATGTCAATATTTCTGCCACAAATGTATTAAAAAAACATGCTGGTTGATCTAAATCAAAATATAACCATCACTTGAATGGCTATATCTCCTAAGAACAACAGCATAAAAACCTTTAAGAATGTTTTGTGTTTATTTTGTTTTAAAAAGGTGGTGGCTATCAGCACATTTTCCAACACCTGACATGTTAACTGCAGGTGGCAAGGAGCAACTTTAACTCCAGGAGCAAGGCTGTAGTCAGCATGACAGTCTCCCCTGCTCTTCCAACCACACAAAAATTAGTACAGAATTACAGAATAGGTTGGAGAAGACATTTAAGATCTTGAAGCCCCAGAGCCTTTCACCAGCCCATGGGCCTGTCTGGCTGTGCCTGCAGCACAGCAATGAGCGGGCTCTTCCCAACAGAGCCAAGTTCTCAGAGCAGCCATGAGATGTCAGCACAGACCACTGCTTCTGTGCAAACTTCCCGAAGAGAAAAGCTCCCTCAGCTGAGAGCATCCACGGTGCTCAGTGCCAGCACAAAGTGGGATTGACCCCTCGGGACAAACTGTGAGCATCCAAAACTGGGCATGACAGGGACAGGGCTGCTGCAAACACTGGCAAAAAGGGAGGGCAAGGTTTGAGGGTTTAATTAGGGTTAAAGCTGATGTGTGAAGCAGAGGAAGCTACTGCAGTCAAACAGCACTACAATGCTTTAGTAACAGGAAAAAGTGTAATTTTTGCAATTTAACTACAACAGCAATCCAGTAATTAAAGACCCATGACCTAAACCAGGGATAGCTCAAACTCTGGGCAGAACCTGGCCTTCCAAGTAGTTTTAGCTGGCCTTTAAGAACACTTGACCAAATTCCTGTGTGCTTATCGTTTCTGGGCCAACTGCTGTTCCCACTTAGAAGCACCAGGGAATCTCTCATGACCACAGTTATATCAAATCTGGGGGGAGTTTGACTCTCTAACACAAAGCCAGAGCATTTATTCTAACCTTTTTCATCCTGAGATGGGGCAATTAAGTCTGTTAATTTGGGATTGACAGTTAGGAGGCACGGGGATATGGGGTTTTTTAATCAATATATCTTGGTTAACTTGGTTAACTGCTTCACTGCGAGGAATTTACAAGAGGAACCAGAGAAAAGGACATCTTTATTTAGGAGGCAGGCTCAAATTTCTTCAGGTTTTGTTTTTCCACTTTAAATAGTTGAGACCATTGAATGTCATTTGCAAAAAAGAGCCAAGGCCAGCAGCTCCAGGATGGAGCCACCAGTGGCCAAGGGAGAGCCCAGCAGGGCAGCGCCTCTGGGATGGCAGATTTGGGATGGGGGAAAAGCAGCTGTGCAAGGACAAATGGCAGCCTGAGAGAGGAGTGAGAGCTGTGAGAGGAACAGCTCTGCAGAGCCCAGGGCAGGAGCTGCTCCAGGGGCAGAGCTGAGCTTCCCTCACTGTGCCCAGGGAGGTGCCCCAGGATGCAGAGATCCCTCTGGAGAACCCCACACTGGAGAGGGTGCCTGCCCAAAGGGGGCTGGGATCTCCTGGGATGCCCAGGCTGGAGCAGGGTCCTGGCAGGGCCCACAGGGAGAGGAGCCCAGGCTGGAGCAGGGTCCAGGCAGGGTTTGTGACCCAGCAGGGAGCCCACGCTGGAGCAGGGTGTTCCTGCAGCCTCTGGAAAGGGCTCACCCTGGAGCAGTTTGTGAAGAACTGCAGCCCAGGGGAAGAACTCGCTGGAGGAGCTCATGGAAGGCTGGGTCCTTTGGGAGGGAGGAGCAGGGGCAGAGTGTGAGGAGTCCACTCCCTGAGGAGGAAGATGCTTCACAAGCAATGTGTGATGAGCAGACTGAGCCCCCAGTCTTTGTCCCACTGCTACATTCAGGAGGCAGGGAATTGTGTAAAGCTAAGCCTGGAAAGAAGGGACGGGTGGGTAGAAAACATTTTTAAGATTTGGGTTTATTTTTCATTATCCTACCCTGATTGCTAATTAATTAAACTAATTTCCTCAAGCTGAGTCTGTTTTGCCCATGACTGTAATTGGCAAGTGACCTCTCCCTGCCCTTTTCTTGTCCCAAACTGAGCAGGTTTTGTGTCCCCTGCCCAGCTGAGGAGGATGTGTGTGACAGAGTGGCTGTGACAGGCACCTGCCATCCCCACAGGAATTATTGGCTGTGGATGACAAGTGCCTGGGGCTCCTTTGCCCGAAGCTGTGTCCAAAGCAGTGCTGTCCCCCTGGCCATCAGAGGTGGGGACACAGAGACTGCTCTGCAGGAGCAGCACACACTGAATCCTTGTGGTGTCATTCACCAGCATGGCCTCTGAACATCTTGTGTGTTTCCATGTTTTTCACATTCAGGGACTCTTCTGACCTCCCCTGTCCTCCTGTGCACCCCTCAAGAGGTCCTGAAAGGAGTGCCTGTGCAGGGCAGGGGCTGTGGCACTCTCGGGCAGTGCTGCTCTGCTCTGTGCATCTGTTTCTCTTCACTTTTGATGTGGCAAATTACCAATGAGTACCAATTCACCAGAAAGCAATGGGAGCAGTCTCTCTCCTCTTCTCAGTAAAGGATTTGGGGGAAAACACAGCAAAGGACATGGTATTAAATAAACATTAATTTCAGTGAGAGGAAGAAGCTGATAAGGTCATTTCTTTCAAATTACATAAAGTCCTTTCTAGAATGTTTCCTCTTCCCAGTATAATTTTTCAAAATGTTCAATGCTAATTTGACTATTCCAAGCCATCTTTTGTTCTTTGTATTCAGAAGGAATTTCAGAGAAATTCAGGGGTTATGCAAACGTTCAGGAGCAGAAGATACTCTTTATTACCATTGTGCCAGATATTGCAGGAAGCCAGAATGAGAAATTTAGGAGAGCCATGGAAATGAGAATTGCTCTAATTCAATAAGAGATTCATTGGCTTGCTAATTAGATTTGATCACTTGAGTATTTTTTATTGTAGCTGTGTAAATATCTTTTTAATACCTACCACATCTGACACAGGCACTTCAAAAGCGTTATAAAAACAGTAGAAAAAATCTGCAGAAGAAGTTAAAGAAAAATAAATATCTTAGTTCTTTCTTAGCCTTTTCTTCTCCAGGCTGAACAGCCCCAGCTCTCTCAGTCCATCTCCAGAGCAGAGGGGCTGAGTCCTCTGAGAATCTTCATGGCCTCCTCTGCACTCACTCCAACAGGTCCACGTCCTTCTAAGAGCTCTCAGGAGAACCCAAAATCTGGCCTGCAAGGTCACTTTGCTGAGACAGCAGAAAAGAGAAAAGAAAGCAAGAAATCTGCCTTGTTCTAAGCAGCAAATGGACATGTCTGATGAGCTGCCAGCTGAAATGATTCTGGAAATACAAACACTGCAGTGCACTCTCTTCTAAGGACACAAGGGTTTCCTAATTGACAACACGTGGAATGTTTCACTGATTTACCAGGGTCTTTGTGTTTTACAGCCACCTTTGAGGAAAAAGGCTTACAGCAGCTGACAAGATACTCAGCCTTGCACTCTTATTGCCCCTAGTGACCACATGGACCAAGCAATCTGAGTTATCAGGCTCTGCAGGGCTCTGTAGGTGCAAAGGCACCTGCTGCTCACAGAGCCTGCTCACGCTGCCGTTTCAGACCCACCACTCTTGCTGCCAGGAGGAACACGGCCCCAGTGAGCACTTCTGCCACAAAGGAGATCCAGACCAGGGCCAGGGACCAGCCAAACCTGATGTCGATTTCCACCAGCAGGTCCTTGCTCCTCAGGAGGCAAACAGCTTCTTGGAAGGCAGCAGCTGAGTATGCAATGTAGACACTGATCCCTGTAAGGGTAACGAGAGCTGAAAAGAGAAACATGGTCAGCTACTTAGCAGCCACTGAAGAAATTAAAAACAATTAATTGGATATGTCTTAGGTGCTCTTTCCCACTCCTTCCTATTCTAGCCAGGTCAGATTTACAGATTACCTTTGAAATCTAGCTGAGGTTGGTTTCTTGGGCAATGAGGGAAGTAAAGGCAGGGTTACTTGTGTCCACTGAGAATAATGTGTTCTCACTGTTAAAGACTGAACCACAACATCTGGCAGCAAGCCTCCCTCAATAAACATCCAGTCCTGTATTTTACAGACATCTAATGCACGTGCATCTCTGTTTTCAGGGCTGCATTGTAATGTATCCTGATTCCTCACTGCTGAGCACCATGGACAGCATCTCCCTGTATGTAAGAAAGCCCACAGAGACCCAGATTCTTGATTTTCAGGTCACTGAATTGAGGCTGTTTCCTGAGTACTGTCACTTTTAAGTGTTTAATGTAAATTTGTTGGTTTCACTAACTCCCACCAAGTGTTGTGCTGCCACGACTATCCATCACTTCCAAATACCTGAGTAAAAGGCATCTTTGGGACAGACTAAAAATAAATTAATAAGGGCACTCAAACAAGGAGCAAGATGTTTTCAGAATTAAAAGGCTGTTCTAAAGGTGTAGGGAATGGCACATGTGGAACAGATACACATTTCCTCCTGAGCCTGGCATCCCTGTCAGTCAGAGGACAGGCACTGATGGAAATCACCCTTTACTGGATCAGCAGCAGAAAAGATGCTGCTTTAACCAGTAACAAGGCCCTGGATAAAAAAAACTGCAGTCCAGGGAAAGTAAATACTGAAACACTTTCAGGACAAAATAGTGGATTTGATTCTGAGAGAGAAAATTTTGGCATAGCTTTCTGTTAAATTACAATAAGTCCTGATGAGCTGCCTTTTTGCCAGAATATATGTTTGATTAGAGGCAAACCAAGACAGAAGAGCATTGGGTTATCCATCAGTCCAAATGCATACTCATATTCCTGATTTTAACCATCATCTGATGCCTGTACCTTATTCTAGTCCTCTGCAACGGGGGGGTAAAAATTGCTTCATACCTTTTGTCAGCAGAAATGGAAAAGACTGATTTGTTGACATTTTCAACAAATGTCAATTTGACTGAATTCTGTGCAATTTCCTTTGCAAAATAAAAAAAAATGAAAAAAAAAAAAAGGAAACCTATAGGATGTGCTGACATGTGGAACACATAAGTTCTGAGGGTAACTCCCACATTTCTAGAATGGCATCTCCAAATATCTCTTTCTGCTGAGACAGAGCTACCTAAGTAACACTCAACTTTGTGAGTTTGAGTGTCCTCCAGAACTGTTCTGTGCATCCAGCCAGAGCAGGATGGGGGCTGGTCTCAGCCAAGGCCACCCCACAGTCTGCTCCTGCTCCCTGGGACACTGCCCCAGCTGCATGCCCAGAACCTCCTGAGGCACCCCTCTCCTGACCCTGCCTCTGGGCTCCCTTCCCCTCTGCAGCCCCAAACAGCTGAGAAAGGCCCTGCCCCACTCCCCAGTGGGATAATCACGCTTGGCACTTCACAGCCTTTCATCTTTCACTGACTATCTGCAGCAGTTTTCAGCAGCCTTTTCAGTGAATACAGCTTTCTGCTGCTCTGAGGAATCAGAACTTGCTCTTCGTTTTAGGAGACAATCATAATGGGGGATGGTTTGGTCGGTGTTAGAGCATTTCACACTAAAAAGCTCAGTCAAGGCTTTGAGACAGCAGCATTTGCTTCCAGCAATCTCTTAGCATTTTCTTCTTAAAAATAGGACTGTGTGAGCAGTTGATGAGAGCCAATTCTGAGGATCCCCTTTTCTGTTGGGAAAAATTTCTGTTTTAAGTTATATTGTGAAACAGCACTGAAAATCTGTTTGGAGCAGAAGATGCAGATTTAAACACAGTTTTCCTACTTTGACAGAATGTTTTTAGGTTTTTTTAATTCATAAATTACTTTCTAAAACACAGTGGGTTTGGATACAGCAGCAAAGAAAAAAAATAAAAAGAAGTGTAAATTCATTTAACTAGCTTCAAATTGAAATGTCACACTCCAACTAAAAAACTTCTGGGGGTTTTCTTTTGTGACCCACAGTTTGGGGACACCACTCTAGATCAAAACTAGCAGTGAGGCTAAGCCAGGAATGCCTAAAAGTCCCTTTTCAGGAACTCAATGCAAATGGCTTTTTAAAAACATCAGTTTTCTGAATAGCAGCAAAATCAGTGCAACCCTACGATTTAGTAATTCCATGGTCACTTTTCCATCTCCCCATTAGCCTGTCTGTAAAGAATTTGTGCACCATGCTGAGAAGTTATTGAATCTTTAGTGTCAGTGGGCACAGCACACACAGACTGTTCAAAGGGTGGCACTCCCCAAGGAGGGATATTTGCCTTTCCTCAGTAGCTCCATTCCAGAACCAGGACCCCAGCAGACAACAGCTGAATGAACACCAGCATTATTCTGAAAGCAAATTCCTGCTTTTAATCCCTGGGAAACAAAGTGATGTTTCCCAGGTACAACCTCTTGTTATCTAAAACAGGCCAGGAGTTTGGTTTAGTACCTCCAAAAAGGAAAAGCAGTCCAGTCATTAGGAGCAGTAGGTAGGCCCTGGCAAGAATACTGATGAATCCAGTCATTCCTCCAAAAATCATCAGTATCAGGCTGAGGGGCATCAGGATGACAAATGTTCCATGCATGTCTGAAGAAAAATGAAGAGTGTTAATATTGTAATATTTTATTATGGTGTCAGTAGATGTACCAATAATCATTAAGTGCAGAGCCCCTGATCAGGATCAAAGCCTCATTCTGTGCTGCACAAACAAGAAATTGGATAAGCCCTTGGGTTTTCAGGGTAAATCAGCAGGACAAACCTATGGTATGGAGGAAAAGGTGACAGGCAGAACAAACCCTCACAGGATCCCAGCCTGTGTTTCAAACACAGAGCACAGATATGGAGGATATGTCTGCACAGATATATATGAGCAATCAAACTGTCCTCAGCTCTTGAGCCAGCTGGATATCAGGTGATGCACTGCATCCCAGGTAGGCAATGGCAACCCTAATGAAAAGTAGCCCTGTTATGTGAATCACACTGTTCTGCTTGGGAGGTGAGATCCAGCCATGCTTTGATTAAAGGTTTCTCTTCTGTCATGTGTCCTGTACTGCACTGACGTGGCAAATTGTTGACCTTTTCCTTTGTTGCAGCTGACCATCAACTAGAGGTAAATTTTCCCATCCAGATTCTCTCTGTCACTGTTTTCTACAGCAGCTTCACTAAGTGCATTAACCTATCCTCCTCGCTTCCTCCCATGCTAAATGTTATACATTAGTCTTTCTTGATCCCTATAACATTTTAATAGCTGTGTAAACAGAGGGTTGCTATGTATTTTTTCATATCACCCTGGTTTTTTCCATCATAAACCATTATTGTGTCATTGTTCCCTCTGGTGTAATCTATCCACAACATTCAACCCAACCTTATTTTAGAATAATCAAAAAAAAAGTAATTCCAGTATCAATTTGTTTCATCCCAGAGTAAAGTGCAGAGTAACTGAGAAAAGAAAATGTAAAATCCATATTCTGAAGAGGTCTAGGCTTCATTGTCTCATTTAATTTCACAGAGGAACAATACGCCATTAGCTTAGGAAAAGGAATCACTTAAGAGCTCACAGTTGGTGTGTGATCAAACGATCAATTTTTAAAAGTCATTGTAACTGCCCATGGAATTGGAGCTGCTGCATCTGCCACTGGCTAAGGACCCAGCTCATACTGTACAGTACCATTACAAAGATCAGACACAATTGTGTGCATGTCCCTGCTCAGTTCCAGAAACCTGGAAGGTTAGGAAGGGTCTGCATGGCATCAAGGCAGACACTGTTGATGTTTGTTCTTGAGTAGAATGTGGTTTCCAGACGTTGTTTTGTGTAGCACAGAAAATGCTAACAAACAAACAAACAAAAAAAAAAACTGTCAAACTACAAAGTTTTGGGAGGTGACAATTTTTGGGGGTTTTTTTCTGCTTTTGGTATTATATTTTCATCGTCAGTCCCACATATGCTGACATCAGGACCAGCTGATGCTCAGAAATCATGAATTCAACATTCTGCAGTGAAGAGAGCACTTCCCCTCTTCGAGTCTAAAGCTGAGGACACTCCCTGGGCCTTCCTCCAGCAAAACTGGCCACAGCTGCTGTTCCTGGCCAACAAGCACAGACCTAAAGCAATTCTCAGTGCTAACAGCCAGATCAATCTTCAGCTCACCGGGAACAAACCAGCGTCAAAACTGCCTGCAAATCTCAGCTGAACTCCAAGATGAGAAATAGCCATGGAACTTAGTTCAGGAGTTTTGTGTGGTTAGAAGTGGTTGGGGTTCTGTGTTCTCTCACAGAACAGAGATTGGGCACCCCATTCAGTGCTCATATTCCAGAGGCAGCAGCCACTGAAGTGTGGTCTTCAGCCACATTTGAGCTTGCTGAGGGTTATTTGGTGTCATTTTGATTATTCCCCACCATTCTGACATCCATGTGTCATCTCAGCTTTGGTCTTGCAGTAAAAGCTGAAAAAGGTTGGGAGGATAAAATCTTGGGAGGATGAATTAACATTTGAAAAGTATGAATGTAGGAATGGTGCAACTCTGTCCTCAGAGCTGGCCTTGCTGAGAGAGAACAAACATGACCAAGCTCATGGCTGGCTCTCTGCCTCGTGGTTTTCCAGGTGTGTCTCACCAGTCCAAGTCCCTGGTAACAAACTCCAGCTCAGGACAGCAGCACTAACTTGGCATTTCTTCGAATTTTCTTGTCATGGTGTGATTTCAGCTACTGCCACCTGAGCCAGGGCACATGGGTGAGCAAAACACACTCTGAATGGAACTTTGTGAAGGAAAGGGAAAAGAAAACCACACCAGAGCATCCTTTTGAGCTTCCTAGATTACATTAATCACCTGTGACAGTTGCAATATCAGAATAACTCTGATTTTTGTGCCCTCTTCAGTGAAAATATAAAGATTAGGGATAGTTCAGCTGAAACCCACAAACCTCACTGTGACAGAGCCTTACTTTTCCTACCCACAGCTGGGATCACATTTCTCATTAATCATTGGCAGCTTTTTAAAAATCAAATATTTAGTGAATTCTATTTGGTTAAATAGTACTTTTATAATCTCCAGTGTTCTAGTTCAGTATCTAATACTCATTTGTACAATTGAAATCTGAAACTGCCTGGGAAACTTATTCTAAAATGCTGCCATGGAAACCACTCAGGAATCTGAATTCATGCCATCTGGCATATGATATTATGCCATTATATCCCTTGATTAGAGGAACAGAATTAGTTTATAGAAGAAAATGACTTAAAATATCTTTAGTGTGTTTCTGTCTTCAATAATCATCTGTGAAAGAAGTTAAAACATTCATTTTGCAGTCATTTTAGTGGGTTTTTTAGTTTCTGTTGAAATACACATTTATACATTATGTATTAAACATATAAAACATGTAACTTTCTTCATATTGATAAAATTGCTCTAATATTGGGGAAAAAAAAACCACCCTAAGCATTTTGCAGAAGAAGAGGCATGTGCACTTTCTTGTAAAACAGAATTCAGTTTCCCATATCTATTTCTCAACACCTGAGTCCCCCCCTAAGCATTTTGCAGAAGAAGAGGCATGTGCACTTTCTTGTAAAACACAATTCAGTTTCCCATATCTATTCTCAACACCTGAGTTTCGTGTTAGTCCAACATGAAAGATCCAATGATTTAATCTTGGAAATACTGAAAAAAACCTCATAGACTTTTTAAAAAGACTCACTTTTCTTGAAAAAAAAAGAATCAAATTGCTTAATAGTGGTTACTGAAGTTTTACACTAGCTAGCCAAAGCTCTTTTACTAGAGCTCTGGCCAAATATCTGTAAGAATGGCATCTGTGTGTGTCCAGAACTGAGGATTTGGCAGGCATCTCTAAATTACCACCCAACACAGTTGTTGAGGAGTTGTTTGTGAGAGAAATCTGTGGAATTAAATAAAAACACTGAGCAGGTCAGAAATAACCAAGTGCAAGCCCAGCAGCTTTGTTAATCATCTCCTGTTAACATCCTGCAGCTTAATTGCTTCAAACTAACTTTGGATTTGTTTGCACAGCTTATAATAGCAAATAGTGCCTAGAAATCTGTAATATCACCTCATCAGAAATACTCCAAATGGCAGTGGCTCAGAAGAGCTTAATTAAGGGCCTGTTTGTCTTACCCAGCAGTAACTAAAGAGCCAGTCAAAAGACAAAAGCCTCCAGCTGAAACAGACTCCTGGCAGTTGTAAAACCAATGGGGCTGCTCCAGAAGGACTTGGCAAAGCCAGGAAGAAAAAGTGCACAGAGAAAATCTGACCTGCTTGCTAGGAAAAAAGCAAGGAAACAACTTAGGAAACCAGTGAACAACTGAAAGAACTTGTCTGTGCTAAATGGGAATCCTCTGGTCTTGGGCCACAGGGACAGAAAGGCTGGATTCCCTCCTGTTCAACAGAGAAAAGGTGATGGAGGAGGATTGCTCACAGAGTTAGGGGTCTCTAGGATGATTAGCCAGGCTCTGGTCTGTTACATGTTCTGGCTTCCTGCTTTTCTCAAAAAATCTCTGAGCTGAACAGGAAGACCAATTGCAGACAGCAGAAATGAAATTATGCTAGACCTGGAGCAGGTGGCACTGACAAAAACTGCAGTAGCAGGAATGGGCAGAATGATGAATGTGAGCAATGCACCATGGCTCACATTCTGTTGCTGTGGTACCAATGAATCTGAAAATAAGAATATTCATCAGAACTTGCCACTGGTTTGGCCTCAGCTGCAGTGGTGCTGAAGTTATCTGGGTTTTCTGTATATATTTACTGCTATATCTACAGTAGGTACTGAAGCAGATGTCCTCTGGCACCTCCCTGAAGGAACAGTGCACTGTTGCTCAGAAACAGGTACACACCTACCAGACCAATTAAGCCAGAATTTCTGTGTGCATCATTCGGGTCTCATTTCACTTGGCCTCTGAAATGGCTCTTGCCCCAGCCCCAGCTGTTTCCTTCTGGTAGCTTCAAACCAAAAGAAAATCTGCAAAGAACTGTAAATCCCTCAGGAAAAAATGTCACAGTGGCCAAAGAATAGAGCATTCTTTCCAAGTGCAACTCAGTAAATGTGGAGCAGGGTGAAGTGTGAAAGCAGCTGGTGCATGACTGTTACAGGGTCCACATGCTGTGAGGAAATCCAGACAAGTTTATCTCTACTATTAAACCCATTTTTTTGAGGAAGAAACCAAGGCAGCTGTTACATTAAAACAACTGAGGTATCAGAGCTGCCTCTGCTGCAAAGATCATTTCCCTGCAGGAGGCACGAACTTGAGTGCCGCCTCATGGTTCCAGTTACATTCGTGTCTAAAAAAGAAAAAATAAAAATGCTCTGGGGAGAATACTTCAAGCAGTTGTGCATGGGCAGCTGCACGCTCCAGTCTTGATGTTAGAACAGGAAAAACAATATGAGTGGAAACCACATCCATTAAATGCTCATTTCTAGATGGGACAGGAATAGAGGAGAGCACTAAAAATGGACCTGTAAAAGGAGACCAATCACTGGCCATATTGTTCAAATCTCTGACAAAAAATCAGGATTGCCAGAGGCTTAATCTTACTTTGTAGGTACCTAATGCAGATGGTTTGTGTGTCACACAGACAGTAAGAAAGAACAGCTGTTCCTCTCATGTTATTTTTTATAACTCCAGCCCCAGCTCTGCAGTGCTGGTGGGACCCTGCAGCAGCTCAAGTGCAAAGCTGAGATTTAAGAGAAATTGACTGGTTTTGAATAGAAATATTTACTATGTTTTTCATTTTGAAAGGATTACACTGGTGCTGCCTTCAGTTAAATCTGTATTGACATTTATTTATTATTAACAACATAGGTTTTGGTAAATGGAAAATATTTTTATGACAAAAATGTCTAAAGCAACTTTTCACCAGTGTAACAAGTTGAGGTTTCTTGTTTGGGTTTTTCTTTTATTTTAAGAAATTCTTTTAGAAAAGTTGAATTCTATGGAAAAAGTTTTCAGCTGATTAAGCACTGCCATTATTTCTACTCAGCAGCTTCCCTCTCTCTCTGTGATCCTCAACATCAAGATCTGATTTTGGATGTTACATTTCTGCTACTGGAAAATGGCAAAGCTGCTCAGAACTCGATGCAGTTGCCTTTGAAGTCAGTGATATCCTTATTTTGTCGTTTAGAGAGAGACAGATTCAGCTTACTATGAAAAATGCTGTCTTGCTGCTTGTCTGCCATAGCTGGCACAGGAGAACACATGGCAAGGCAAAATATCAGAGGTGTCTTTGCTGACAAATTTAAATTCTAAGGGGAATTTTCAGAGGGCTATCTTTAATCCTAGGAGTCACCAAGACACTCTAATAACTGTCTAAATTACTGAAAGTGATTGTTTCATTTTATTCCTGTTTGGGCCGGAGGAAAGTGTGCATCTCCAGTGAAAAATAATTTTATTAATGCAGAACTTTCAGAAAAGTTAGTGCTAGGCAGTTGAGTGGTAGTTTTCTTTAGACAGTGACTGATGTTTTAAACAAATAAATAACCAGGCCATAGTGTAATCTGTAAGAGGGAAATATTTTATCCACTGTGGGTTTGAGGGGAGGGAGGATATACATGTTCAGCTGGGGGGAGTGGTAAGAGAAGAAAAGGAAGGCTAATGAAGAGGAGGAGTGTGTTTGTGTGCAGTCCATTAGAGGAGCACAAGAGCACTCCTGTGATGTGAAACACATCACAGTCCCAGCCTCAGCAAGCCCTAGGTTGATTGCCTGGGTGATATTGCTGCTAGCACAGGGTTTTAATTTGTGCACCCAATTATTTTAATTTGCCAGGAGCTCAATTTGAAGTACACAATAAGGCTAAAAGGAATCTGCTGGGTTGAAGAGGGCAGATATTGGAAATGTGGAGGAAGGGACCATGGAGGCTTTTCATTCTCTAATGAAGGGTTTGTTTTCTGGCAGTGGCCAGCATTTCTGTTTCCACGTAGGCCCAGCTCTTTACACTCACACGGAGACTTTCTCCAGTCTCTTTGGCACTCGTGGCTGGTTCAGACATGCCAGAAGGTACATTCAAACTCTCAAGAATGAGGGATGTGGCCAATGTGTGACTTTAGGGCCTACTTTAGGAGACAGTCCTTTAAAGTCTTTTTAGGAATAATCAGAAAGAAACAGGTTTGGTGTTGCCAGAGCTCATGAAGTTCAGTGCCAATCTAGATGGAATGAGATTATCATCCCATGTGACTGTGCCTCACAGACACCTTCACAGGCACACAGAGACAAAAATGTCATTTTTGTGAAGTAACCAATTAAAGCTGTGCAATTATCTTGTTTGCCACATATAGCAACAAATGAAGAAACTGCTGTAACTACACTGCAATCCATGATCACAGAATTTCCCTCCAAAATTCTTGTCAAAATATGTTGTATATGAAGACAACTTGCCATGATCTGCCTAAATATGATTCAGTGGCCACAGTCAGAAACATTTAAGAGAGAAGAGTAAAGCGGGTGTAAAAGGTACTATCTCAGGACCTGATGAATCTAGATGTCACTTAGAAATATCTGCATTTTCTGGAAGGAAGAAGTACTGACTATGTTCAGCTGCTACTGCTGAGGATCTGTAGCCTCACCACACTGAAACTGCATTGAAGCTGAGAAAAAAAAAATCAAAAAGTTAACTCAGTAGGGCATTCCAATCAAACATAGCAGATTCTTTCAATTGAAATATCTTTGATTTCTTCTCTCATCACTTTTAGGCAGACTCTGCCTGTTTATAATAAAATATGCAAGTGTCGTTGCAGACCTGAAGTCTTTTTCCAGGAACATAAAAATAGTACTTGATGTGAAAGAGAGAGAAAAAAAAACCTCTCCAAGGCCCGGAAGAGTCTGTAAACATAATTATTAATACAATTTTTATTCATATCCACTATTTTCTCACCCTTCATGACTCACAAAGAGCCATCCTTTGTTTCCAAGCCAACATCATTTGTATAACCAAAAGAGCACTGCTTTTTGGTTTTGTTTTGTTATTTAATGAAGAGCTGCAATCTCTCACCTGAGAAAAATAACCTTTTGCAAATATGCACACAACTTTTGAAAAGCAAATGGTTTCATCCTGAAATGTTGGATTATCACCAGTGGAGGTGCTGACATTTAAAACATGATCAGGGAGGTTTGGTTAATGCTGACCCCTCAAAGGCTGGAGTGATCCAGCAGACAATCAGTGCCACTTGTTTCAGAGCCATCGAGCAGCTACAGCCCTCTGCTTTGAGCATGGAGGTTAAAGAAATGGCACTTCCTATTTGAGAGCAGAGAGACGTGCTGGGCTGTGAGTCCTGCATGTGTTGAAATGCTGGGCTGTGAGTCCTGGATGTGTTGAAATGCTGGGCTGTCAGTCCTGGGCCTGCTGATGTGTTTATTTGGCTGCCTCAGGAGCTCACTGGGATGTGACTCCTCCTGAACCTTCCCAGGACAGCTGTGACACAGCCCCAGCACCTCCCAGGCTTCCTCTGTCTGCTGCACCTGCAGCTGGACCACCAGATGCTGTTCCAGGAAACTAAAGACCCTTTAAGCCTCTCTGGAGCCCAGGGAGTGGCTGGTTTTGAGGGAAAGAGTTCCATTTTAAGAAACAGAACAAATGCATGTATTCTGCAGAGTCAGGGAGAAGAAGTAAGTACATAAAAAATTGTAAATAACAAGCACATACACGAGGGTGTGTGAGGAAAGGATTGTGCCAAATATACAATGCAAAGATGGTAAATCATCTTCTAGGAGATGCCTGTAAGTATTTGAAAATGTTCAGTTTGGACTTTTTGAAAACATTCTGGCACTGACAAATGAATCTAAAGAAAAAGAAGAAAATATATTACAAGCCTAATGTTTTTGAACACAATGTTCTTCAAAGACTTTGAACACTGCTTTTGGTCATTGATTTATTTTCTTAAATTCTCCCATACTTAAGTCTTTTATCGGTGCCAGGAGTCCCACTGAAACGCTAGAAAAGTAGCTGTGTTAAAGATTAGTTTAAATGTGTTCTTAAACATTTTCAGTGATCAGAATCCTTTGAGGTGACTGTGAACACTTTTGCCTTTTATTTTTAGCAATTGTGTACCTTCCTGTGCCATTCCAGTCAGAGATTTAGCTCCTGTGGAAGAAATTAGCTGAACTTGTCACCAAATAGATGGTTATTTCAACAGTAAACACACTTAAAGACCACAGGCAGTGACAGATATTGTACAGAAGCAGAGTCAAAACACTTTCTCAGTGAAAACAGTAAACACACTTAAAGACCACAGGCAGTGACAGATATTGTACAGAGTCAAAACACTTTCTCAGTGATTTTCCCCTCTGAATCAGAAATGAGTCCTTGTAATTGGCCAGGGAGGGAGGGAAGGATGGATGGAAATACAAAATAATATAAACACTACTCACACAAAAGCTGTCTGTGTGAATCGGTGATGTTCGCATTCTCGTGCCAGAAGGGGTTTATCAAAGGGTAACATTCACTCCTCACTAGTAGAAAAAGGGGGAAAATTACACTATTATATCTGTTTGCTACATATCTATTTGGTTCTTTGCATGTACATATAATCCATATAATACCAGCTGCTTCTAAAACAGCCACTCCTAGGTAGGGAAGGAAATGAGAGGATTTTGAGCACGCAGCATCAGCTGCTCCCGTGGGGTCTGACCGCTGGAGTCAACAGGGAAACATCTGCTCATTGCAGAGGGGCTCAGTGCACAGCAGGGAGAGAATTCCTGCAACTGCTCCTTCTCCCTGCTCCTCTGGAAACAACATGCTTTCTTGCCTATGGCAAACATTACTTGTTTCTGGCTTTTAAGAGTGCAATCAAAGCCAAAAGTTAAATGCCTAGCATATAAATTAACTACATGGGGAAAGACCTATATATTTATCTAGGATTATAATAACCCCATATGATGATACATAATAATACTTATATTTAAATTAATTGTGTTGTTTATGTAAACAAACTATATAGTGTTTATATTTTTATTTGCTGTATTATTATTTATAATTTTAATGGCTTTAACCCAGAACTTTCGCCCCTTAATTTCCTGAGCCAAATGAAAAGACATCTCCTTCCTTCTAAATGGTTAACCTTTATTAGATTATCTTGAATTAAAAGTTAATGTAAAATCAGGTTACAGTAGCAGAAAATTCGCTCTCCCCATGTCTCCTTCGGCAAGTGACAGGGGAGGTATTGACAGGGCACTGCCCACGGGTGCCGGGCACGGCCGGGGAGCGCCCGTCCTTGAGCCGCGGAGAGCCGGAGCTCCGCGGGCAGCGGGCACTGCCCCCGAGCCGGACCCCGCATCCCCATCCTCGCATCATCACAGCCAGACCCTGCAGCCGGACGGACACCGCACCCTCCTCCCGCATCCCCATCCAACATCCCCATCCTGCATCTCCACCGGCGGACCCCCGCATTGTCACAGCCGGACCCTGCAGCCGGACGGACACCGCATCCCCATCCCGCATCCCCATCCCTCATCCCCACCCGCATCCCCACCGGCGGACCCCCGCAGACGGACCCCGACCCGAGACTCCGGCAGGTTTCTCCCCGCAGGCGGGCTCCCGCACCCCTGCGCGCAGAGCCCGCGGGCGGAGCGCTCCGCTGCCGCGGGCCGGCCCCGCGCACTCACCGCGGCAGGTCCGCCAGAGCCCCGAGTGCGAGCTGAGCGCGTCCGTGCCGTTCTGGGACGCCTCCAGCTTGGAGGCATCGATGATGTACCAGAAGTCGGTGGCGATGGCCACCACGAGGAAGATGAAGCTCGAAAGTCCCACCAGGGCCACGAAGAAGGAGAGCGCGCCCAAGTTAACCCTCATGGTGCCGCCGCCGCCGCCGCGCCTCGCCCGGCCCCGCGGCCGCGC